TTTTCCTGGCTGCATCATACAGAGCTTCGTTGGCCCGAGCTGTATGATGAGCCCTCGGGCCCCCTGCACTGCTGGAATTCCCGTGGTATTTTGGGTTGCCCACACACACACACACACACACACACACACTCGCATGGCAGACCATACCCGTCAAACACAGCTTTTTCTTCGAAGCGGATCTCTAAGGGTTCAGGACTTGAAGGGCTACAGGCCTGAGAGTTTGGACTTTTGGGTGTTCGGTGGTTAGGGTTCAGAGGTTTAGGATAGCTACCGCAGGAGCTGTCGGCCCTCCGATGGCGCTGGTCCTGCGTGGCCCTCGCCATCAGGTGCGCAGGGCTTTCGGCAATTGCTGTGCGGTCAAGCGCACACGGTGCTTGCCCGATGGAGGCCCCCGGAAGAGGTAGAGACAACTCATCGTGAAGGCCTGGGACGGCAAATGCTTTGTTGAAGTCAGGTTTAGGGTTTACGGTTTAACAGTGTAGTCGTTCGCCATGTGCTCATGGGCGCCCGCCTCGCGATCGTTACGGCAACCTCCGGCAACCGCTGGTCAGCTACAGAAGCAGTGGCGCATGATCCTGGGTTTAGGGTTTAGGGTTGGTTTCGGATTTTGACTCTCTTGGCATTCGCCTGCACTTCAATTTCGTTGTCGCGCAGTCTTCTGCCTCGTCTCCAGGACAGTGTGGTTGTAATGCCATCCTGTTCATTCAAAACGCAATGGTTGCTTGCCGCGGCCCGAGTTTCAGCAGGGTTCAGCTGTGAGATGGGGGCTTGCTCAAAACTTGGCTTGATATTCCCTTTAGATTGAAGTATTAAGTATCACGCGCCCGAAACGAGGAGGCCCGATTTTGCATCAATCCTCCAGGTGCACTCCCGATCAGCAACGATGCGGCCGTGCTCACCGAGTTCAGTGCTACCCTGCCCTGTCTGGCCGGGCTTCAATCTAGGGCTTGCTAACTTAGGGTTTAGGGTTCAGGGTTTAGGGTGGAACTTGACTTTTATGCGACTAATGCAGGTGCGACAATTGTTTAGGGCTTTTCTCCTTGTGCAGAAATTGAATTGGCATGCCACCCAGCCGCATAAGCCTAAAGCTTAAACATCTCTTCTGGTAGCCCTTACGGCAATGCTCAAAGTAACCCTAGTGACGTAAACCTTCATAGTACCCCAAGTATAGTCACCCCCGTAGTAGCCCTGCCTGCAGCTGAGGTTCATCGGGTCACGAAGGTGACCTCGAAGAAGTCCAGCCCGCAGACGGTAACCCTCTTCCAGGCAGCCCGAGCAGTTGTTTGGGCCTAAACCCTAAACCCT